GCCCTACATGCAACTCATTATAGGACCTCATATTGAACAAACTCTGTTCTTGTCTCAAATATGAGAGTTGATAGATTGTCTGGGGAATTGTTTCCTATTTTGTCATGGAAGAGGCAAACTGCCTGTATGTCTATTAAATCAATGTAGAAATATCACTCAGGTTGGATAATTAAGATGTGAAGCTTGATACCGTTGCCTCGTTTTAAGGCAATCCATAAAATGAAAGCGATTATAAACCTTGCCAGAACAATGTATTCCCGTGAGTCTCTGATAATTGGGATGATCATTTAATTGGCACATTCTTTTTCCACTAGGGTGTGCCAATTAAGCAGATTCTAGTATACAGGGCTGTAATAGGACATTTTATATTAGCTCCTCAGCTAAAATTACTTGCATTGAAAAGAATCATGAAAAAATAGTATGGATTTTCTTTTTAAAGCCTTACTTTCCCGGGATATTATAAATGAATGGAGAGTGCGTTCTCGCCCTGAGCAGGAGTGATGGTGTGACAATTATACCGGTGGAAAGCAAAAATCTTAAACCTACATTTCAAGCAACTTAAAGCATAGAACTGTGTTCAGTAGATTCAGTATTTCCTGTAAGTTGCAACACAGCCAACAAAACAGTGCTTGGGTGGCTCCTGAAATAAGTTAACTTTAATACGTTCATAGAAGCAAAAACAACAAAGTGTTTTATCACTCCCTAAAGAATAACTATTAACTAAATAACCATGGATAGGGACACGTGTGGCACTGTCGGTTAAACCACAGAGCCTAGGACTAGCCATCAGAAGGTTGGCGGTTCAAATCCCCGTAATGGGGTGAGCTCCCGTTGCTCGATCCCTGCTCCTGCCAACCTAGCAGTTCGAAAGCACGTCAAAGTGCAAGTAGATAAATAGGTACCGCTCCGGCGGGAAGGTAAATGGCGTTTCCGTGCGCCGCTCTGGTTTGCCAGAAGCGACTTAGTCATGCTGGCCACATGACCCGGAAGCTGTGCCAGCTCCCTTGGCCAGTAAAGCGAGATGAGCGCCACAACCCCAGAGTCGGCCACGACTGGACCTAATGGTCAGGGGTACCTTTACCTTTACTTTAAATAACCATGGAAGGAATGTGTTCTCTCTCCTTCTAATCTGCTGCCCTCCTTCACTGATAGAAAACTTCTCCTGAGTGTCAGTGGGGCCCCTGAATAATATGGGATGGTTCAAGGAAGACCACAACAAATAGGGTCTGCCACTGAGCTATGGTTTTTCCATAGTCAGATTATTCCTTGGTAAAGGTTAGGTAGCAATCATTTACATAGATGTGAAGCAGCAAACAGTATCTGCCCTCAGGTATAATCGATCAAGGATGTTTCCAGAAGGCTCTGGGAGCATCGCTTGCCAGCAAGTGATTCTTCACTTGAGGGCCCAGAAGAACTCATGGATTGGGGACATCAATTAAATTACTCCAGAGTGTTATCTGTATTTCTCTCTCGCAGCCCCTAGCATTTACAAACAGAGTGTTAGTTAAGCATCTCTGGATGATGACTAGAGTGCAGAACATTTGGGCCAACTCCTATGGAAGACAGAGCATGGTGATTATAGAGAGGGTAGCAGAGAAATCTGACTTTGCTGTCCCGATTTCATCTGTGTCAGGCTGCCCAGTGCAGCCTTTCCAAGCAGCAAAGGGAAATTCATAATCTAATCCTGTGCACTAGGTCTTGGAACTCATTGCCTGCTGTGATGAATTTGCTCAGCATTTGGCAGATAAAAGCCACTTGCATCGGCTCCAATATGGACAACATGATTGCAGCAAAATCCAAGCCATGTTTAGTCCCATTTAGGCTGGATGGTAAGTGGAAAGAGTTGAGCAAATTGCCCCATAAAATTATTATTTTTCATTCATAAAGAGCTCCTCCATTTTGCAAAAGCATCTTACTCCCAAAAGATTATAGACTTCTTTCTTTTTTTAATGGGCATTCCGATTCTTTATCATCTCTATTTATCTCCTCAGCTAATACCTATTCTCTTCAGGCCAAAGTGTCTACACTGGTTGTTTAATCAAATTTCTTCACTCTATGAATGTTTTTTTCCTCTAGTCCGTGTTGTACTTCACTGATAGACTTGAAGGTAGTGTTGGCAGCTGCAGCTGCGTAATGTGTTGCATGCTTGTCCAAATCCTTATCATTTTGCACCTGCCATCACATTTCTTTTAACAGACACAGCTCAGCAACTCTCTTAGGATCTGTGGGTCTCCTTGCTGAAATGAGAAATGAACTGACCAGGCGGGGGCGGGGGGGGGGGAGAACAGCAACAGGGACATTTTTCTGCATGGATCATTCTTACAAGCTGCTCACATTTCTAAAGGCAGTGGGTGCTGAGGTGTTTTGTTTTTTTTTTAAAGTCAAAGCTAAAGGGCGGGAGGTGGTGAAATTAAATATTTTTGAAGTCAGCAAATCCAACAGTGATGCCTGTAACTCTACACTGCATCCTATCCGTGAGGGGCATGGGTGAGGTGGCACATCCCTGAAAAAATGGGGGAAGGAAGTTCACATTGTCAAATGGAGAAAGAAGAAGAAGACAGATTAGACAGCTGCTTTGTTCATTGTTCACTGCCCAGCGTTGAAAGCTGGCAAGAGTTCTGTTAAACGCTAATGCATGGAATCCAGTAATTAAAGACTGTGCCATACTGCAGTAGACTCTCTCACACACACACACAAAGGGGACAGGGCACATACCGCAAGGACAGCCTTTCTTCAGTCATCTCACATCAATAAATTACTTGGCTTGGAATCCCTTCACTAAACATTATTGAATCCATGTATACAGTATGACATATCAATCTTATTGCATTCCGCTCAGTGCTTATAAGTTGTCTGGTAGTTTTTGGGTTTGCTAGCTGGGCCAGTGGCATGCTCTGTACGTGAGCTATTTTTTTGCTTTGGGTTTTTCATTGCCAATTTAAATCTGACTCCCCTCACCGTACTTTTCTACATACATATTGCTTGTGATTGTTTCTCATTCTGATTTCTGTCTCTCTCTGGTTAAGTTACGAAGAAGAAGGCGAAGGAGAAGGAATGATAGTCATTAGGGTTATTATTTTAGTCTCTGCTCTGACAGCATTTTTAATCACTTCATTTTTACCCCCATGGGGGTTATTAAAAAGCTGCACCTTTTATGCTTTTTTGGGGGGAGAGGGTGTGCTGATGCTCTATTTTTTACCTCATTCAGTAATTCTAATGTATTACTTGATTCCTGTTTTATTTCTCTGTTGTCAGTTTGTTGTAACCTAGAAGCCTAGGTCATTAGGTGTTTGGTAAATAATGAATCCCCTTCATGGATCACTGCCTTGTCGCGGTGAAGGGGCTTGAATAACTCCGAGAAGCTATGAGCTATGCCATGCAGGGCCACCCAAGACGGATAGGTAATAGCCGAGAGTTTAGACTAAATGTAATCCACCTAGAGAAGGAACTGGCAAACCACTCCAGTATTTCGCCAAGAAAATTCCATGGACAGAAAAAAGGAGAAGCTTTGAGAAGAAAGTGAAAGTTTCCAAGGCATGCTCTGGTTCATGGGGTCACGGAGAGTCAAACATGACTAAGATGACTAAACAACAAATAATGAATGAATGAATGAATGAATGAATGAATGAATGAATAGAGCATCCTTGGAATAAATGCTGTCTGGGTCATGGTGGTTGGATTTAGACACATCGAAGAAACATTTCAGTTTAAAATGCTTTAAACTGGGAAAATGCTTTAAACTGGGAAAACAGAAAATTTAAACAGGGAAAACAGGTAGAGAAAAACAGGACTCCACATCCCCATCTGGTGGCACAATGTTATATCACATATACAACACATATAAATCACTTTTTCTTTACCAGTCTGAGTCCGATGTGACCGAGAATATCAATGTTTGCTTTTGTATGTGTATATGTACCCAGAAACTGTATTTGTCTAGCATTTGAATTGCCTCAGTGTCTGAACAATTTTGCATCCTGTCTGGCCCTCTGCAACAATAACAGAAGCTGGTTTTCAACATTCTTGAAAAAAGAGGCCAAAGGGACACAGGTGTCAGACTGTTGTCCTGTTTAGAACGAAGCGAAGGTCAACCATGGTCAATGCACTTTTTCTATCCACAACATCAATTTCCTTCTTACTCAGATAAGCATGACACAATGTTTGGAAATATATTAAAAAGTGGAAAGTGTATCTTAAAGAAAAAAAGCCAGACATCCCTTTAGTATTTTAACTTATGCTTGGAGGCCTTCTGGAAATTCAGAAATATTAATAGCTTTCAGAACTTACAAGAGGGTTACTTAGTTCACACTTTCAGCTTTGCCTGCAGAACCAGCAGTCCCTGAACCATGCTGCCTAATGCTCAGCCAGCAATCACCTTCATTTCCCCCTCATTTCAGAAAATAATTTATCATATTACTGGCCTACAGTGACAGAACATGATTCACTGTGGGCCACCATGTGCTGTTGATTCCTCTACTAAACAAGAGATGAAATATATATTTGTCAAACTGAAATGCCTTTCTTACGGCTGACATAAGTGGTTGCCTTTTTATAAATTCTTCGGCAAGTCAATAGCCCTTTTCATGATTACAGAGGAGGGCGGATAAAGGGGGGCTATTATGGTATCCGCTATCTCCTGCCCCTGGCTGACATACAGTCAGCTAAAGTTTGGAACACTACATGTATGGCAAAGCGTGTTCTCCTTCATGGAGAGCACGTGTTGCAGTGGGGTCTGCTGAGCCACCCCTCTGTTACCAGGCAGGGTCTCTAAAGATGGCCTGGGGCAGTGATTGGTTCACTGGGTTGCTGGGGTAAAAGTTATGTTGCAATTTTGGTGGGAGGGGTAAAATGTTTAAATACTCCGCACGCAGCCTGGAGCTTTCTCTTTGCTTCGTGCAACGGATCACCTGGAGCACTTGGACCATCTGGAGGACAGTGGAGCGATCTTCTCATTGTCTTTTCCCTGATAGTGGCGACTGCCATTTTAGAGACGAGCCATTGTGGCTTAGTGGCTAGAGTACAGGACTAGGACCTGAGAGACAGGGTTCATATCCCTCACTTAGCCATTGTTATAACAAGGCAAAACAAGCTGCTCCTTTTGGACTATTTTGTTGCTGGGTAGTTTGGCCCATTTGTGATATTGCTCCCAAAAAAAACTTTGGGTTTCTTGAGGAGGTGCTTCCCTCTAAAGGGCAAGCAGGGGTACCTGGACAGGCGGTGGGCTGCCTCGAGTTTGTTATCTCATTGGAAACATTTATGTCTGGCCTAGCAGGTGATCCTAGGGCTTGGCCCGCTTGGCCCTAGAATTTGATGGCCTCTGGCAGCGTTTCTGGCCTGAATAGCGTCCCCATGTGGTGCACAAAGCATTGGTTTCACCTGTTCCTCACATTGTTTAGGTTTTTTCTTTTTGCAGACTATGACAGGGCCTTTGCAGATGCCTCCAGAGCTTGCCTCTCCTGCAGAGGATGACTTGTTGATGCCCCAGGTGCCTTCTTCGGGAAGGAAGTGTCTTCAGAGGCAGGAAAAAGCGGAGCAGGGATGATGCTTACACCTCCTTGCAGGTAAATCATCACTGGGCTCTGATGATGATTCAGACATCACCTCCAGGGGTCAGGGTGAGGCTGTTCCAGGTCTTTAGGGATCATCCTGGATAGCTCAGCTGATCAGCGTATGGTGCCGGTAATGCCTAGGTTGCAGGATTGGTCCCTGTATGGGACAGCTGCATGCTCCCTCATCACTTTACCCGGACACTGAGGTCCAGCGCCGAGGGCCTTTCTGGTGGTTCCCTCACTGTGAGAAGCCAAGTTACAGGGAACCAGGTGGAGGGCCTTCTCAGAAGTGGCACCTGCCCTGTGGTACACCCTCCCACCAGATGTCTACTACGAGACTTTTAGAAGACATCTAAGGCAGCCCTGTTTAGGGAAGCTTTTAATGTTTGATGCATTACTGTATTTTAATATTTTGTTGGAAGCTGCCCAGAGTGGCTGGGGAAGCCCAGCCAGATGGGCGGGGTACAAATAGATTATTATTATTATTATTATTATTATGATTATGATTATGATTATGATTATGATTATGATTATGATGATTATTATTATTATTATGATATTGTGGGAGAGTGGACTAGATGATCCTAGGCGTCCCTTCCAACCCCACTATTCTATAAGTGGTAATTCACTATGATGGGAATGTTAGACACAGGGCTGCCATCAACCCCTTAGCTCGCTAGGATCGCAGGGATGGGGACATGTGGACCACTTGCGCAGCTCCACATTTCAAATGGAAATTCCCTGAGCAATAGAACCTGAAGCTGGTATGCAGGAAGCTGGCCCGGTGGCAGCTTTGTTGGGACTTCTTTAGGGTTTCTGGCCAGTGTTGGCCCTGTAAATTTACACATCATGGTGGCAACACAAGGCAAGGCTTCTTGCCCAAGCGGGGGCTGGCAAGCAATAACTCAATACCTCTCACCCATATTTCCATAAAAATATCTCCCTTTAAAGCCTGGCTAAAAGGTTATCTAGATGGGTCAGTAGCTTTGTGCTTGTGGGAAGGGTTTTTCCCAAGGTTTCGGGATTCCTCTGGCTTTTCAGCCAGTGGCTCAGAATACAGCAACTCAAAAGCCAGTTAGAGAGCTACCTGTGGTAGCCAGAAAGAAGGTTAGGAAGCAGCTTGCATTGGGACGTATGGTGGGATCCCCTTGATTCTCCTTCTAGTCCCGATTTTCATTTATCCCCATTGGGGATCGTCCCTAAGAAAGCCCCGTATAATTCCATCTGATCCATATTTATCGCACCCCAAAGGCACCTCAGTGAATGATGCTTTCCCTCCGGAATTGTTCCATGAAATATGCATCTTTGGATCAGGCAGTTGAGCTTACCAACAAATTGGAGGAGGTGCCTTGTTGGCATTATGCGATATTGAATCGGCTGTTAGGCTGCTGCCGGTTCACCCTCAAGATTTTAAGTAGTTAGGCTTTAACTGGATGGTCCTTATATTGATAAGGCGATGCCAGTTGGTTGCTCAATAAGCTGTGCAGCACTTGAGTCCTTTAGCGCCTTTCTGGATTGAACATTGCGAGTCAAGACTCGTTTAACTGTGGGTATCGTTATGTGGATTATTTTACTGGCTGGTTCATGTGACACCAGCCTCTGCTTAGCTTACTAGATGCCCCTTTATTCCCTGAGGAGCTGGGTGTTCTGTTGACAGTGGAGGACAGTGGCTCCTACTGCCCCTTTTAACGTATTTGGGGGCTAGCTGGATACCGTTGCTTAAACATCTGCTTGCCTGTGGAAAAGCTGTTTGCCTTGAAGGATGTTATTCTTGTAATGCTTCCTCTGAAGCAAGTGTTGCTTTGTCAGATCCTATCATTCCTAGGTCAGTTAAATTTTGCATGCAGGGTGGTTGCTCCAGGCTGCCCCTTCCATTCCTGCTTGGCCAGGTGGTCTCATGGCCCGGGGTCCCTTCATCATCATGTACAGTGGCCTTGAGCCTGGAAGGGCAAGGCAATCACATTTAACCCAACTTTTCTCGAGTTTTCCCCATTGTAGTGTCAGCGCACATCTGGACTGAGGAGTTTAGGGACCGTCAGGTCTGTCTTAGTCTGATAACCAGGCAGTGTGAGAGTCCTGGCAAAACGGTCTTCATGCTCTGGCAGAGTCTTCGCACTGCTTAAGGTTTAATATTGCGTTTCTGCTCGCTTTATTTCGGGATCATCTAATGTTTTTGCTGTCGCTCTATCCCTTTTTTTCAGTTGGAGAGCTTCAGATCCTGGGCTCTGGACACCCAGCTATAGCCGGATTTTTCTGGAGCTCCTGTGGCACTTGGCAACAATTAATAATTATGAGGAATAGTAGCTTACGTTTCCCCATCCGCTTTCAGGTCTTATGAGAAGGCCTGGACTGATTTCTTAAAATTTAGCTGGTAGTCCTCGGCCATTCAGAGGAACCTGCCCCCATCCTCTGAGCAGGACCTGCAGTAATTCGCCCACCTGCTGCAGATCGGATGCAGTGTTAAAACTATCAGAATTCAGTCGGCTGCAATGTCTGCTAGAGTAAAGCTTTAATTTTTCAGAGACCCTTCTAAAAGTGTGTCATGCGCAGGGTCTCAGAAGGCTGGAATAGGCTCTGACCTTCACAGGACAGCAGGCAGGAAGCCGGTCAATCTTTGACCTATGCAGTATCCGCAACAAGTTAAGACTTGTTGGCTGGTTCAAGATCAAGACGAGACTTATTTCAGTATTCCATTGTAATTTTGGTGTACTGAGGGTTGGGGAAATGGTGTTGGAGCCAGCACGGGGCTGAGAGTTTGGAGGCTTATTGCCTCAGGACTTTTCCTTATCTGCTTTGGAGCTTGTCATAAGTGTCTGGAGCTCTAAGTCAGACCTAGTGAGCAGGGTTGCCACCATCAGGCTTCCAGTCACAGGTGAGGTGGGCCCTTGCCCTGTTATTGGATACCGGAAATATTTGGCTTTTCGTTCCCCTGGGGGCTGGCTCGATCCTAGTGCACAGAAATGGGTTCCGGTTCGACAGGCATCTAATTGCTCACGTCGTGCGCCAGTTATTGCAGCCTGCGGCTTGCCTACCGCTGAACACACCTCATTCCTTCCAAATAGGTGCTGCTGCAAAGGCTGCACACTGGGGCCTGTTAGTAGACAGGATTGTGAATACGGATCATTGGAAGTCTGACGCTGACAAAGGTTATGTCAGGAAGCATCGCCAATGATGCCTGTGCTGATGCCTGTCTGTTATTCCTTTTTTCATAGGAGCAGCTGTGCGCATTTGGATTGTCGGCCACAGCATCATGCACTGAGCTGGCAAGCACCCTGACGAGTCTGGACTGGGGGCGCCATCTCGGCCTTCCTGCCCATGTTTCTAGCTCCAGTTCGCATCTGGATTGTGGGGCACAGCATCGTTTACTGGGCTGGCATCAGAGCTAGGCAGTCTGGAAGGGGACTGGGTCTTGGCCTCCCACAGCATGTGCAGGTGTTGTGGATGTCCAGGCACAGAATGCAGTGGAGCGAATTCATCCCGCTAATTAAGCAGAGGGTGCTTTCGGATGGCCCCCCCATGGCAATTGTGGTTCAGCTGGGGGAGAACTATGTGGCAACTTATGATTGCTTTACTTTGCGCTCCACGATTCAGAGAGACTTGGGGAAATTGGTGACCTTAATACCCACAGTTAAAATATTTTGGTCACAATTGCTGCAAAGGCGCAATTGGCACGGCATTTCTCGACCTGAGGCTGCTGAAAGGGCCAGGAAGCGCATTAATTCCGCAGTGTGTAAGAAGGTGGCGGATTTGGGTGGATTGGTTATTTCCCGCCCGGATATTACCTTCAAGGCTCTGGCCCTTTACCGCAATGATGGAGTACATCTCTCTGTACTGGGGAATGATGTTTGGTTGGATGCGGTAACTGCAAGGTCGAAGGTTGGGTTGGGATTGTGAGTGGTTGGCGGTGAGCGTAAAGGGCTCGATTGGCGGTTAGGCATTGGTTATAAATTGGTGGAGGAGGGGTTAGGATAGGCTGGGCCTGCCCCTCCATGGTTGCTGCGGAAAGGGAATTCCGTTAAAGGAATCCTGGGGCTTGCCATCTTTTCGTCCAATCCCTGGAATGGGACTAGGGCCGGCAAGCCTTCGGGGAGCATGCGGATGAGAATTGAGGGTCTGTGACTCAGCTCCATTTCTCCCCGACTTGCTTTCCCCCGCACTGTCTTTCGGTGGTGCCCGGAAGTCAGTTCTGTCCCCAGGTGGGGGGACAGATAGTCTTAACCAATGCCTAAACAACCACTCACGGTTTTGTATTTAAATAAAGTTGTGGCCAAAATTATGCCAAAAACCTTAAACAAAAATTAAGTGTGCGTTGTGAGTTATTTGGGGGGTGGCTTGGGGACCTCGACACACAATTAAAACTCTGTGAGGGGTGAACTATAGTGACCAGAATTCCTCAAGGGAAAGAATGTGCTTAGAATATTATTTAAGAGTATAGTGCGTACACAGCCTTCATTTAAATATTGTAGTAAGGAGGAATGTCTCTCCTTTTATAAGAAAGATAAACTATACCGTTGAACTAAGTTTGAGGGAAGCAGCACAGCCAAAACTATGCCGTGAATGGAATTTCAGCTGTAAAACCTTTCTCTTCAAATGGAAGTCAGTTGCACTGAGCTTGAGGAAGATAAAATTGTTTCTTGTTCCTGCAGTAGTTTTACAAAAAGGAAAACGGGGAGTAAACCTCGAGAGATTTTCATTTGTGGCTTTCTGGTTTTGGTGCATTGATGTCACCACACTTAGCACAAGGCCGTGAGACAATTTATATGGTTGGGAACAGGGCCAAGTTGTTGTTGTTGTTTTTTTTGTTCTGTCTGCAGGTTATTCATCTGCACTTTTAAGAATATAGCAGAGGGTGAAGGGAGGAAAGAAACCTCTTGAGCCATGTGAGATGCATGGATGCACTTTCTAAAAACTGCTTTAAAACACACTAAAAATTCTCCCCATCCCCAATCTCATTTACTTGCTATGCGTTAAGGGAGGGAACACTCACTGAATTAATGAAAGCAAACATATTGTGCTGTAGCACCAGGACTAGCTTGCTTCCAAATAGCAAGCCTGTAACTGGACAGCTAAGCTCTTTCTTATCACTCCACCCTTGCATTAAATTCTTCAGAAGAGGTCATTCTCCCAGAAATGCCAACTGGAAAGGAATGCAAAACTGGAATGCACAAAGGAGAGGGCCTTTTCTTTGGTGGTTCCCAAGCATTGCTTTATAGTATGATTTATCATTATCATTTCACAAAGTGGTTAGCATCAAAGGAGAGAGACAGACAGACACAGAGAAAGATGACTCTGCATCAGGCTAACAAACTAAAACTGCAAAATGCAAGTTTACTAGTAAACTAGCCAAAATGTACAAATCAAATTCTAGAATGTTCTGGAATTGTAAAGAGAAAGAGGGCACCTTTTATCATATGTGGTGGTCATGTAAGGTGATAAAAGCTTTCTGAGAAATAATATATAATGAGTTGGGGGGGAATGTTGAAAATACAGTGGCACCTCCGGTTACATACGCTTCAGGTTACATACGCTTCAGGTTACAGACTCCGGTAACCCACAAATATTACCTCGGGTTAAGAACTTTGCTTCAGGATGAGAACAGAAATCGTGCTCTGGCGGCATGGTGGCAGCAGGAGGCCCCATTAGCTAAAGTGGTGCTTCAGGTTAAGAATAGTTTCAGGTTAAGAACGTACCTCCAGAACAAATTAAGTTCTTAACCCGAGGTACCACTGTAACCTTTTCTAAGAAACCAGAAGCTTTTTGTTTAGGAGTTTTAGGTGCATAGATTCTGAAAGACTAGAAGAAATTGTTTAAGTACATGACCACGCCTGCCGGGATTTTGCTAGCCTAGAGATGGAAAGAAGATACAAGTCAACCAAGGATGACTGGCAGATAAAACTGATGAACTATGCTGAAATGGCAAAATTTACAGGAAGAATCGGAAACCAGGAAGAATCAAATTTCAATAAAGAACAGGGGGAGTTTATAATGTATTTGAAAAATGATTGTAAACAATTTCATCCATTAATAGGTTTGACAGAAAACTTCTTGCAAAAATTTGAATTATGGTTTGGCAAATAATTTATAACAATTGGAGTTATGGAGGAGATGCAAATATAAAAGTATTACATGAGGATCCACAAAGGGGGGCGGGGGCAGGAAGTCAAAGGAGATATCATGTTTCTATTGTGTTTGTTCTGTTACTGCATGCAAAATTGAAAATGCAAAAATAAACTATAAAAAAATCCAAAATGAATACGGAAAGAGGAGCTAAGGTTAGAGAAGAGATATCACTTATTTGTGGCCAGAATACAGATGTGAGCTATTAGATGGCATTCATATCCAGTTCAGGACAGGCTGATCTTTGGAATACCCTCTGGGAATTTGACTGGCACTGACATTACAATCTTTTTGGCACCAGGTCATGACATTTTTATTTGCTCAGGGTTTTTTTCAGCTGGATTTATGGCCTCTGACTGCTTTTTAGTTTTATAATCTGTTCCCTCTCTGTTTTATTGTTGGTGTTGCTGCTTTTACTACTTCTCCCTTTTGTCCTTTTGTCGTAGCAGCATTGTGTTTTGTTATATGGAAAGGGTCACCAGTTGGTAACTTTTCCATGTCATTCTTCCACACAAAGTTATCTTGCCAATGCACCTCGTGTGGTTAGATCAATATTTAACCAAGACCTAGTCTAGGGTTTCTTTCATCATTCCAGTTCCTCAGGACATCATTAATTATAAATCTGACCACTTGGGGAGAACATTCACAAGAAAGCTTTGACATAGGAGAGTTGCATGAAAAAGCTACCGCATGCTGATATTTTTCTGTCAAAATGAGCATTGTTAAGAGGGGCAAATCCATTATTGCCACCTTTTGTGTTCTTTGCCTACTTCAGTTAAAGAAAAGTTTAAAGAAAAGATATAATGGACAAAGTATTTTTAGATATTTTTTTCCAGCCCATTACTAGCCCAATATGGCACTGTGGGGTGACATGCAAGCACACTCTTTATAAAACACACGCAAACAACAATACTGCTAGGCATAGGATAGGAGATTGATTGTCCTCCTGTTTATATTGGCACAGGGGATTGCTTTGTCATCCAGGAAGAATGACAAGTAATAATAAAAAAAAAGAGTATAAGCAGCCAGACTCTTTCTTTTAATATGGTGCACCACATAACGGTGAAATTACCAAGAGTTATTTTAATGCCATTTATAGTTGTGTGTATCCAATTCACAGAAAGTGTTCTTATTTCAGTTGATATATTTCATGGCGCACCGACATGGGATTGTATTTTTGTGCATTATATTAGGAGATGCTGCCTTGCAGAAATGTATACATTCGGGGAAACTGCATACAAATTTGTGTGCATTGAAAGGAATTTGCTGTGAAATGCTGATGAATTTTCCAGTGGACTTCTTTATTTTTTTTATTTTTTATTAATCACAAATTCATGTCAAAATGTAGAGAACTGAAGATTGGAAAAAATGAGAAATGGAGAGAAACTGAAATTGACAGATTTGTCTATCCATAATACAAAAGCCTTCGTTGCTTTCATTGAATGCCCATTTTAAAGTATTTTCTTCTGTCCTTCCTATTTTTCAGGCTTGAAAAGGTTATCTGCTTATTAAAAGCTTTCTTAACATCAATGTACATCCGGTTCAGATGGATTTCTGTAGGTTTCCCTGGAAAGAAGACATATTCTCAATGGGAGGGTAATGTCTTTTAAGTTGTGTATTAGTCCCAGTAGTCTTTTCCATCATGACGGGGCTAGTAATCCGTCTTCTAAGGTCTCCAGAATTAAAAATACTCATTTACTTCCCTGATACCAGGAGTTCAGCAGAGTCTGGACAGATCATTAAACTGCATATTTCAGACACTGTTCACTTGCAGAGATTGCTGTATATTTGACATACACACAGTGTATATATAGAAAAATCTATTGGACTTCCTTTCAGCTGTATGCTTGGTGGGCTTTCATAGACACATTTATTTCTTGGAGAATTCAGTATGTAAGAATCATTGTCATTGGCTCCCTGGTTCTTTCATAAATCATATGCTCACAGTTCAGCCTTCTGATCAGGATTGTCCTGGCAAAGGTTAAAGATTATAAAGAAAGCAAAAGGGGGGGGGGGTTGTACAAGTACTTCTACATGTTTTCAGTAAGCAAAACATAAATAAATACATCCGAGGTCATGCTGTAAGACTAGAGACATTTCTTGAGGCAGGGGTTGGCTGCATATCCTCAGTCATTACCCTGAAGTAATTCTGATTGCGTGAGCATTACATAAGTGCCGCACATCATCTAAAGGAAACAGAGAAATCAGTCAGTTCAATGGGGATTGTTTTCTCCTCTGCTCTCAGCCATAAGAATCTTCCCATTACATGCTGTCATCAGGAATTCATTGAGTCACATAAGACACTGGACAGAACTGAAATATCCTAATAGCAATGAATGGAAGTGTTGGTATTTATATCCTGTTTGCGATAACTTCAGGCATTTGCTAACTTGTCATATCAAATTAAATAATGTGTTGGCTTCTGCCCCAAATGGCTATGCAGACTGAAACATTTCTAAATTTGGGGGGGCCCACAGGGGATGCAAAAATTTCAGCAGTCAATAGGTGAAGAGACATGTCAGAGTTATCTTTGGACGTGAAGTTTGAACTTCCATTAAATTATTACTAGAGATCTTCATGTGTTCTGGCTTTGAAACATTAGAAAACAATGTTTCTTCCTTTCTAGTAGATATCCTAAGCATGTTCTATTTATATGATTCCATTTATGAATAACATCCCATAAATAGTTTGAGGTGTTTTCACATTAAATAATAAAAGTGTTGTTGTTGTTGTTGTTGTTGTTGTTGTTGT